GTTAGTATTAAGGGTAAGAATAGTTTTAGTATTTTTTTTTAAAATTAACTCCCTTAACTTTAACTTGGATGGAAAATCAAATTATGGGAGTAAGTGATAAAAAAAAATTAAATAAGAGTATAAATAATTAAAAATTTTGAAAAGGAAATAAGTAATTCTGAAAAAACTTATAGGAAGGTTTTTGAAGTTTTTTCTTTTTTAAAATAATTAGAATAAAAGTCAACCACAACAACGTTCATTTATTAACTTTACCCATACCACGTACCCAAAAAAATGAAAAAAAATTCACCCCAGCCAATTCTCACCAACATTTGACTTTTCCCTCGATCGGGGGACAACTGCATTAACCTCCCCTAGGGGCTAGGGCCCTATATTTGTGTCCTACAGAGAAGCAAATTTCACATTTACACTAGTAGGGGAATATCTATTTCCTTATAAAAAAGGAAAAAGATTATAGGATATGAGTGAAAAAATTTATAAAAATAAAATTATTTTTTTTATTGTATTTGATAAATGATGTACTCAGTGTTTCTGTAGCACCATGAATATTTTCCACGATTCAGCAAATACTGATAAGTGATAACTTGCTCATCATCTTCTCCTGTGTGTGGAATCAATTCCAACATTTTTCGACACGTCCACAATTTATTCCGACTTCTGGGTCTTGTCGCTAACCAATGCCTCTAGTTCCAGTGATCTCGTTGGTGCGTGCATCATCGTCTGCTTTTCTTGTGAGAGATCGAAAAAGTCAAAACATGCCTCTGTTTACTGTAACTTCCGTATCTATAATCACATTTCTAAAGATTATTCTTAGTTTTGACGAAGGGAAATATTTATTTTTGTGTTGTTGGAAATGAATTATTTTATGTTAGTGTAATAAAATTATGAAGGAGATCCACAAATAATTGGAGACAGAAAAAATAGAGATGAAATCCATATTTGTTATGTGTGCATAAAAATTTGATTTATATTATATTAAAGGGATATATTTTTCTTATGTTGTTGGAAAAGAATTACCTCATGTTGTAGAAATAAAAGTATAAGTGGGACCCACATGTAAGAGGAGAGAGAAAAAAAAAGTGGTGGGACCCAACCATTTTTGTGTGTGTAGAAGAGATGTTTATCTCATGTAAAATGAGATAAACATAACTCTATATTAAATGAGATAAATGTAACCTTTGACAAAATAAGATTCATATAACAGGAGGTAGTTTTTTGTTTTTTTAATTGAAAAAAATTATGGAATAAAATATAAAAATTGTTATCCCTTATAAACTACCCTCTCCAGCATTTATATGGCCACGTCATGAAATGTCTCCATCTAAATTAACCAGAGGTATTTTCGAAAAATATATATGATTTTGATGAGTATTGTACTATTGTCTTGAATAAAACATTCTCCTAATCTTCAGACTTCAGTGTGATACTAATATATGTTTGAAAACGTACTAAAAAGTATATTTATATGGGGTAATGTTTTTCTTATGATGTTGAAAACAGTTTATCTCATGTCATAGACTCTTTGAAATTTGAGCCATCAAATTTTTATTTTTATTTTCGTAGTGTGGGATTCACTTGAAAATGTCTCTGTAAAAGATACTCTTATTTTCAATGACATGAGAAAAGACAATCCCATTTATATTTAAAAACATGTTAATGCTAATATAATACTAAAACTTGTTCAAAAACCAAATTAATTATGCTATTAATACATTTCACTATTTTTCAATGATTTTATTTATACACTATATATTATAAATATTTATTTATAAAAATTAGTATTTGTTCTTATAAAAGATATAAAATTGTGTCATTTGAAGTGAAAAAAATAGATAAACAAAAATCATGGAGGAGAGGTAGGAATTTTTTTAATTTAAATTTTAAATAAAAAATTAATTTTAACTAAAATAACTATCCTTTAAAATGATAAATATTTTTTCTTATTTATATTTATGTAATATATACGTATATGCGAAAACTTTGGTTGCACACTCATTCACCCTCTGGATTTAAAAATAAAAATAATGTACTGTTTCTTGCGAGTCTAACTATCCTTATCTCCTTACTCATATGCCCATTAAATCATTGGTACTATAATACTATGTGTCCAATTCTGAATAATGTCGCATTGGGTACACTACACATACATCGCTTAAAAGCTTTATAACCGAAATCTCCAAGTTACATGCTTGCTTTTGCATTTTTTTCCCTCTCTGCTTTTCCTTCTATGAGAATAAAACGGTGAAGGAAAGTTAGCCCTTTTCTCTATTATTGTTGGCGATCTTATCTACAACCATCAATGAGGATAGCATTGTTTCAAAAAAAATAAAAAAAAATCAATGAGGATAGCATGCATTATTACGTTTGCGACGAAATATTAATAAAACAAAATCCATAAGGAGATGATATTAACAAGAAGAGAAATATAAACAACAAAACAGCTTGTGGTATTGACTTTCTTTATATTATTTATTTATGGGTTTTATATTTCTCATGTTGTACAGACAAAAAATATATGAGACCCGTATGTTAGAAAAATTACGTATAGAACTCACGTTGGCACGAAAATCGAAGTTTGTGTAGAAAAATTCAAATTCTCATGTTAAATGAGAATCATACAACTCTTTATTTATTGATGTTAAATACAGTTTCTTATTTTTATTTTTTACTTTTATTTCATATTGTAATAACGCTTACATAATCTAATCTATTGATTATACTCTTCCGCAGTTCCGCATATTATATATTCATCCACCAACAAATCAATCAGTGAGAAATTTAGTTGTTTAATCTTTAAATCATTGATGTAACATATCACAAACAGTTCAAGGAAACGAAACAAAAAACTTTGGAGGAGTATTATTGTAAAATAATAATAAAGTACTTCTTATTCATCCTCCACTTGCCGTGCTAAATTATTATTTCATTTGAGTTGTGTTCTAACAAATAAATTATATTTAAATCTCATCTGTTTTCTTTAGACTAACATATCATATAAGAATTTGAATTTAATTGATATATATATATATATATGTGTGTGCGCGCGCGCCGCAATTATTATAAAGTAAATTTATATTAATATTTATTAATACATAAGTGTGTCAGTATTTATTATCTCTAATTTTTCTATAAAAAAATAAATAATGAATGATAATATGTTAAAATATCAATAAGTATTAATGTAAATATTTTACACAGATATTCCGTATTAAATTAGAATTTATTTTCTTAAAAATAACTAAATATTTTAGGGTATTTTTCTCTTAAACGATTAATTACACATATTATTCTTTATTTTTTAATTGACTATGTAAATTTTTAATTTTTTTATTCATATTTTTTTATTTTTACTTAAATAATATATAAGTATATTACTTACATTAAAAAAAAATATGCGTACAACGTGATATTCTTGCTAATTTGTTAGTAATTTGGTGGAATAATGGTTTAGTTTCGGTGGAATCACAAAGAGTCGCAATATGTTTTTGGCAAATCCGACTGAAGCGACACATTGACACATTGCCTTTTAATTTTAAAATAATATAGGAATAAATTTTATCAAAATTTTGTTAATAATTAAATAGAAAACAAATATATAATTAATAAGCAATTATGCCGCCCATTACTACTATGATTAGCAAGATACCATATTTGATTCTTTACACCGTGGGCGATTGAAAATATGATATTCCGAAATCACCCCTGCCGATGCACATGACAACAAAAGTTTGAGAAGGATAAAATGGGCCATCCAATCCTATCGTTATTGCGTGGAGGGAAAGTCAATTGCTAACGGTATCTATCCACCGACCACCGACCTACCTCTCTGCCCACTCAGAATTATTAAAATATCAGATAATAATGAAAATGAAACAAAATATTATATATACCAATTAAACTATCATTTTCTCCTCTTCTTCTTCTTCTTTTTCCTTCTAATTAAATGCCCTTTGAATTCCTTTCATTTCACTAACCCGCAGATGACACCAACCATGAACCAACCCACACCATTAATTAACGTTCACCATCACACACCACATAGCCATTACATCTTATTATTGTGCCCCTAACACACATCTAGTTATGGTCTTATTATATTAATGAAATATAATTATATAATTACTAAAGTTCATTAGACAATAAATTCAAGTAAATACTTATTCATGATCTATAAGTATTAAAATATGAGGATAATATTCTTACTATTAAAAAAATTTATTACTAATCTGCTATCTATCTAAACACCAAAGAGAGAAAATGCTAAAAAAATCTTGAGAAGAAAAAAAAATATTGATCTAATAATAATTAAATAGGTAATAAATTTATTTGTAGTAAGAATATTCCACTCTTAAAATATAAGTTATCATTAAATACTCCTTTCATAATTTGAACCTTTTTAATCACTTTGGTTTTCGTATGTTATATAATACATATATATTTCGGAATGGATTCTCTCACGTAGTGAAAAAATGGTCATGTTATTTGATCATAACTCTCGTTAATGTCCGATGATGAGATAAGAGAGAAAAAAATGTATAACATTTAAATGAGTGGTTATGATCAAATAACATGACCACTTTTTCACATGAGAAGATTCATTCTTTATAAATTCACATAATATAAGCAAATAATTTTAAATGATTGGTATAATTATTTTCAAATTTTTTATGTGCATGGATAAACCTAAACAAAGAAAACATGCTTTGTTGATGAAGAAAAGGAAGCAGACGAGTCCCACAACCACAACCTAGTCCTTAAAGGGACGGTTTAGAATAAGAATTCCAAATATCAAACGACGAAAGGGAAAGGCATTAATTAATAGACGTAACAAAAAAATAAATATTTAATATAAAGAAGAAGAAGAAAAAAAAAAAAGCGAGGGGTGATTTTGTCGGTGAATTGTTATGTATTTATTGTTAAAAAGAAAAAAAAAAAAAAAGAGTGATTATCTTGTTGGTAATTGAATTGGTATAAAATATAAAAAGGGAGGGTTGAAGGGAAACTAACGTGGAGGCTCACCCAGATGACAAGCTTGGTGGGCGAGTCGTATGAGGGTCTCACCAAAATCCATTACCTTACAACCCTTAAGCTACCGTGTCTTTTACTCGTTAGATTTTTCAGTTTTCATGAAGATTCACTCTCTCTCTCTTTGATTTCGATTTGACACTTATTACAACAACAACTTCAACTTCTTCTTGCAACCGAGAAACAAAGAGAAAGAGAGAAGATGGAGGGTGAAGAAGGAAGAGGAGAGAGAGAGATAGGAACAGTCACTGTCACAGCCACAGCCACAGCCACAGCCACAAGGAAGAGAGGTGTTGGTGTTGTTGATGGTGAGAGAAGGTACAAAGGAATCAGGATGAGGAAGTGGGGCAAATGGGTCGCTGAAATTAGGGAACCCAATAAGCGTTCGAGGATTTGGCTTGGTTCTTATTCCACTCCCGTTGCCGCGGCGCGTGCTTACGACACCGCCGTTTTCTATCTCAGGGGACCCTCAGCCCGTCTTAACTTCCCGGAGCTTCTGGCTGGAGAAGGAGCCGCCGTCGTTGCCGGATGTGACATGTCGGCGGCTTCTATTAGGAAGAAAGCTACCGAAGTGGGTGCCAGAGTTGATGCCCTCCAGGCCACCCTCGACCACCACCACCGCCACCAACCTCATGTGGCGGCGCCTCCGGAGCTACTGTCGGGTGGCGGTGACGGTGGCTCCGGGGATTTTGCGGAACGGGTTGTTGACCTGAATAAGGTTCCCGAACCCGAGAGTTCGGACTGTGATTGGGATGTGAATTGATGGGGAAAAAAATGCTTCTTTCACGTTCCGGTGGTTGCTAACATGCGCCATGGAGGTTCTGCGATGGCTGAAGCAAAGTGATCTTGTTGATGAGGCCTTTGGTGTGGATTACTGTATCTTTTCCCTTCTCTCTCTCTCTCTCTCTCTCTCTGTCTCTCTATTAGGTAGTATTTATTTTTATTTTTCTGATTTTTAGATTCCACGAAAGAAATTTTGGCGTTGTAAAATGTTAAAATGTAAATTAACTAGTCACTAGCCTCTCTTTCTTCGTAGTTCTCTATCTGTCGAATCGTTAATTTTCTTAGCTTCATCTCTTTTTGGGCTACAAGAAGAGACACTTGATTAATTTCTCAGCTCCTTTTGATTCTGTTTTTTTTACTTTTTTTATTTATTTTGGATGAAAATTAAGTAAATATTTGGAATGAAAGTAGTGAAGATGGAATGGGTGGAGGGAGGGAACAAGAATGGCCAGCAGTTGTGTGTAAAAGGGTGGAGTGAGGCATGCTAACCACTAAAGTAATAATAACTACTAAAAAGGTGATAAGATCGAGAGTTAGGTATTTTTCTGGTTCTGCACTGTTTTCTGATTATTGACTTGTGAAGGCGAAATTGAATGGACCATTGGCAAGGGAAATTGCTGTGGCCACTCCTCTCCTCTCTTTCGATAACGGTGGATGATGGGGTCGCTTAAATCGGTTTTGTCGTCTCATTTTTTATTTGTCAAATCTCAAAACAACAATTGTATCGAAAAACTATAAACAAAAATTTGAAAATGAGAGAAAGAGATGTCTCCATGTGAAAGCAAAATTACAGCACCTCAAATTGATTAACAAATATCTTTACAGAGGTTTTTTGATATGGCTCTGAGCTGTACCCCATATTCGGCACGCTAGGTTCTATGAACCCTTTTGAGTTGTGGCAAAAGATTAGTCCATGATTAGCGGAGAATTAGAGATTTTTAACCTTTATCTAAGGTTTTTAGCTGTGGTCCCGTGGATTACATCGTGCTTGACGTAAGTTTACTATTAATTTATTTATGATAAGTTAATCTCCCACATTAAAGACATATAAGATTCATCGGTGATTGAATCAGCCAAAAGAGAGGGAAAAAAATCACAGAAAAGGCAAGGATATGGTAAAAGACAAATGTAGAACATTGAATGAAGGAAGAAGACAACATCCACAGGCTCGCTTTTTTAGGAGTTTTTTTTTTTTTTTTTTTTTATAAACTGAAAGCGCACCAAATAACGTGGAGACTGGAGAATAAAATAATGGGCCAAATGGCAATATATTAACATTAGCAAACGAACAACTTTTTACAGAGTTATGAATTGGGCAATATATCATCGTTAGCAAATGAAGTCGTACATAATTATGTTAAAAAACAGGTCCCAAGCTTTTTATCATATAAAGAAAAGAAAAAAAAGCAAGTCCCAATCTGTTACCGCTAACCGTTCTGTTGAACAGCTACTCATGAATTTTGTTACAGTGATAGGCTAAGTAAGACCAGTTATCGCTTCAGCTCAACCACTACCCTATTTAAACGATGATGTAAGTATTACAGTGTAGAGGTAGATTAATGCTGGGAATTCCAACATTTTCAATATCATTATCACCATGGTGGCCGTTTTTAAATTTTGATGAGAACATTAAGAATAATAAATAATAATGGTCCTTCAAAATATTGCCACTCACAACCACTCGTGTAATAGTAAAATAATATAATAAGATATACATGCCTAAGCCAAAATTTTAATTCTAAGCCAAGCAAACTTCTGGGAACACTTCAATAGAATTACTGTATGAAATCAAGCAACAAATTTTTTGAATGGCCTTCTAAATTCTATCATGCTTTCTTTTGGCTAGCTCGTTTAATTTGAAGTGCGGCTCTTACAACATTTCCTCTTGTGATAATCCCGACCTTCAGATCAATAATAATCATCCCTTAGAAAACATGAAAATGAAAAAAAAAAAAATCAAAGATAACAGAATGGAAAAGTCTCTTACCAGCCTACCCTCAGCATCTACAACTGGAAGGCGTCGAAATTTTGTTTCCAGCAATAACCTAAAGATAAGGTCATCTTTTTTGAGTGGCAGACTAAGAAACAAAGTTGAAAAAAGAAGGGCGCGGGGGTATGTTTTCAAGGGAGAATAAGGAAAAAAGATAGAAGAACCTAGCAGCATCCTCAAGATTGGTGGTCTCCCGAACGACCATAGGGGCAGGGGTCATTAATTCACCAATCAACTTTCCGTTGGTCTTGCTCAGCAGATTTTGAACCTCATTGAAAGTCTGCAAGACACCATAATATAGCGAAATTCATCTTTAATAAACTAGAGAATTCTTGAATTAACTAGTGATTTGAAATGCTACAAGCAATGCAAAGCATCCGGTTTAATGCAATCATTACCGTGTATGAAACATGAATACTTAAAAGGAAGGGGCTTTGTCCGTGTTGGACATATCAGACACACATATTTCAAAACACCCACGGACAGATCCAACTTTGTTGTGTCACCGTGTCTGTTTCAATGGCATGTTTTATATCATGTCAACATCATGAAGAGTGGGTTGAGATTGTTCCAATAAATGAAGCCAATCGAGATAAACATGGGGAGAAGTGACATGTAGCAGATCCCAACAAGTATAAAAAAAAAAAAAAAAGTAGGCCAGAAACATCAATTATGTTAAACATGTTTATAGCACTCTCAGCTTCAAGTGAGAAACATTGACTTTGAGAAGTCACTATATATATAAAAAAAAAAAAAAAACAAATTGTTAAGCAACATTATTTATGTATGTTAATTTAGCCAAAAAGTAGGCCCTGGGGTTTTTATCTTCAATCACAATTCCCCATGGTGTGGCTTGCTTCATAATTTACAATAAATGTAGCAAGACAGATTTGATCAATATGATCTCTTCAGTATAATTAGGATTAGTAATTATGTCTTAGTAGTTACTGCAAACCAGATGACATCAGTTCTGTTGAGAATCACACCCAACACCCACCGGGAGAAAGGAATGACAATGAGCATATCTTCTAACCCTCATGAACAACCAGGCATTAACTGAGGTGAAAGAGAGAGCCACACACACAGATATATATGCATTAGTACCCTCATTTCCCTTAAAACAGACACAAATTACACCTTTTACTTTAAAAAGGCTGTTTAAATTTTAAAAGTCTCATTCAGATTAAATGCATTTAGAAAACATACAAACACTTAATCAAACTTCTGTTATTTATTTAATTTACTTTGGAAGGGGGAGGGGTTACAATGATAGAGTTGTCAACTGCAAAATTTCATATAAGAAATTGTTCACGAGGCGGGTAGGAATACCAATAATACTTTACATGTAATGGTAGTGATACATGGATTTTGCTTTTCCAATCCAGGCCGACCTAGCTCTCTAAGGTCTAAATACCAAAATATCTGCTCAATAAACTCAACTTGTTTGGTAATATGAAGTATTAACAACATGAAGTTTTGTTTCCTTATTGTGGATTTGCAACAAAGTCCAAAAAATATTAGTATATGATAGTAAAGATGAATTAACTATTATAGAAAGAAGGTTTAACAAACCTTCCAAGTACTATCAACTTCCGGAAACATGCTGTTATCTTTTCGCCCATGACCTGAAACCAGCATTGCACATTTTATTTGAGCTATAGGGCCCCAACTTGCGAATAAAAACATGTTAAAGATGCCAAAAATTTATTTGCCAGTTATCATCCCTTTGAAATGTGAATGCTGTTAATTTTTGAATAAGGTGAAAATCAAGCTTCCGATAAATGAGAAAGGAGCAGATTTTTTTTTTTTTAATCAATTTACCTGATATGGAGTCCAGTGCCAACAAGTCATAATCTGAAACAACACCAACCTGCAGAGTATTAAAGAACCTTCAGAAATACTTTCCATGACAATAAGTCCTGCAATATTTTGCTGAGTTAATCGCATGTATGTTTGGTTATATAAATGTAGAACGGAAGGAACTAAACCATAAGCAATTATTAATAAATACAAAGGTTGTAGTAATCAGATTCAATTGTTAGAAGGATATATTGCCTCTAAACTATATTTCCTGAACTGATTTCTACTTCTTCTTTTAAGGGAGTATAGCTGTTAATTTTTGTGTCAAATAAATACAATAAACCACTTCCCAACTAGGGAAGATTGGGGTCAAGACAAGTATCTTGCATATTTGCAAAGAGACTGTTTTCTGGATTAGTGAAAGAAAAAAATATACAGCAATGTTCATAGAGAATCTTCTGATTCATTATTGAATGATCCTCAAACTGTATTTTAGCGAGAGACACAACCTATAATGAAGTTTTATTTTTTTCAGATAGAAAAAGGTTCTTAAAATGATATTTTCTTTCTCAAATCAGAATTAGCAGGTCTTGGGAATTTTCTATGTCGAAAATCCATAGGCATATAATTAGGTAAGTGTTTTGACGACAATGAGATGGTTAAGAGGGCACTGGATTTCAAATGAGTAAAAGGAGCAAAGTATTTATTGAGGCAGCCTAATGCAAGAGGCTCCCACCATCACGAAGGTTCCACATCAAATGTATGCAACCTTACCCTCGTGAGTGGAGAGGCTATTTCCGTGATTAGAAACTTGACCACCAGATCACAAGATAGCAACCTTATGGATGCGTCAAGGCTTAGCCTAAAAAAACAGAGTTTAATTTTTCAAAAGGTATAAATCAATTGTTTAATGACGTTTATTAGTCATAACCTTATTTCTTTTGTGATTTGATCAACAAACATTCAAACAGTGTATTTTGAAAATTTTGAGACAAAATGAAGATGGAAAACTATAGGAGAGTTTTATTAATAACTATAGTAGAGACATAAACATATCAACAAATTTAAAGTGAAAAATTGAAAATGGGTAAGAATAACTCACCAGGGTCCAGTTATCATCAACCACAGGAAAACCAGTTATTCTGTGTTCAACAAGAGCTTCCAGAGCTGTTGCACGATAACATGTTACAAATCCAAATATAAAATCTCCCCCCTCCCCCAGTAAAAAGAAAGAGAGAGAAGAAAAGACTTCTGCCACGAAATGAGACAAAAACTAAGTATAAAATATACCTTCGTCCACAGATGTTGTGGGATTCACCACATGTAAATCCTCTTTCTTTGTCATAAAGTCACCAACAGTGTACACTCCACTTCTTGGCTGCATATAATGTCAAAATGTGGTCACTATATTTAACATATTTCTAAAAAATTTAGACTTAATTAGTACTCAATCAACTATAAGTTATCGTAGCTGGTGGCAGTGGAAGGAGTTGCGAGTTCAACCATTTTCACACACCCTCCTCTCTCTCTCTCTCTCTCTCTCTCTATATATATATATATATACCTCTATATACAACAATATAATAACAATTTCTTTATAATTAAAAGCTCTAAGAAACCAATATCACAATGTTTTATTTAAGAAAATGCTCAGCAAGTCAGCTTAAAAATGTTTTAAGACCGAATCAAATGTAATATTAATATATTTCAAGCCCTAACCGTATAACAGCCACATATACTTTCCCAAGTTATCAACGTAACCAAGATGGGACACGAAATTCATATGTATGGCCATTTGCAAATACAAGACGTAGATAAATACCGGCACACAATTAGCGTTGAGGGTGTTGGCAGCTGGAACCGGTGAGCCACGAAGCCTTGGAAGACGAACGGAGCGGTGGAAGCAGCGGATATCCGCGGCGGCGTGAGGCTTCCGAGGTAGGTGGTGAGTGGCGGAGGGAAGAGCAGGGAGGAGACGAAAAACAACCGATTCCATATTTCAGAGTTGGGTTGAATTCGCTCGGAAACCAAAACCAACGACAGTTGAAGGTTTTGGGTTCAGAGTTTCCGACTCTAATCCGCAAATATCGTTGCCCGTACAGTCAAAATGTCAATTTGTTTCCTTTTTCTCTACATTCCACTGCAAGTTACAATTATCCCCATTTTTTTCATTTTTCTTTTTGTTAATTTAATTTGTTAAATATCTACACTCTGGCCCAAAAAAAAAAAACAATCCTTAAATATCTCAACAACAACAAAATTGCTTGCAACTGCCCCGAAAAAATTAAATTCTAATAAGTAATTATAAATAAAATCACGATTTTAGAGTTATTCGTTTTTTTTCTTTGGTAAGCAAATTTATTTATTTTCTAAGAGGATGGATATTCTAATTACCAAAAATTTTTACTGCCAACTTACTACCTATCTAATCACCGTTAGATTAACATTTTCTCTCTCTTCAAAAACTTTTTAACATTTTCTCTCTTTGATCCAATGGTGATGTGATGGGTAGTAAGTTAATAGTAAGAGTTTTTGGTAGTTAGAATATTCCCACTCATTTTCTAATACCGGCAACGTTAGTTGTTAAAATGCATTTTTTTATTTTACCAAAAAAAAAAGCAATTTTTCATTTAATATCTTTTTTTTATTTCAATTTTTTCCTAATTTTTTATTTTAATTTTTTCTTATCATATTTTTTTTTATTCTAAATAATAGATGTTTTTAATATCTTTATGGTAATTTTAATTAAAAACAGATCTTACAAAAATAGTTTTCAAATAGTTTATTTTAATTAAAAAATTTATACAATTACAACAGTTTTCAATTTTTTTTAATTCTTGAATTTAAAAATAACTTTTAACTTAAAGAAACTGAGGTAATTTTTTGAGGACGAATGTATGAAAAAAAAAAAAAAATGAGGACGATTCCCTGAAAGATTCTCGCACGAATGGTATAAAGTGTGAAGTTGTGGATTCTCATTGGAATGCATGGTCCAGAAGCAGTATCCAGCTCCTTGCAAAATTGAGCCCTAGGGCCAATGTCTGATTAAGTAGCCCAGAGAAGCAACCCAATTCAACTTGAACCTAGAGGCCCAACGATTACTTCAATTAGCGCTGCCAGCATATACTTAAAGGCAAGTTTTATTCTTCATAACAATTTTGACTTGAATTGTTCCGTATATGACCTTGCGGAGTATGTAAAACATATGTGCTGATTTAGCTATGCAATTTTTTCTCCGTCTCCTTGCATATTCGCTTGTTAATTGTTAATGACATGAACCCCTTAGCTCCCCATGACAAATTGCTTATGCAAACTCAAGTTGATACACCATTTCTTTGGCACCTATGCGTTTCAATCGAATTTTACGTAAATGTGGCATTCACGAAAGCAAAAACAGTTAGTTGCCACTAATTTATTTCAAAGCAAAGAACAATAAAGTATTCCATAGCTTTTTCCCCTCTTAAGTCTTAACTCTTAAAACAGTTTTATTTTCTTTTAAAATATCAAATCGGACTAATTAAGGACATGAGTTTTAAGCTCTACTCACTTTGGAATTTAGAGTTAATTATAGTCTTTATTTATTTACTACCGGAAATAATTACATTGAATGATATACCAAGATGCTCGGACAGTGAACTAGAATGCATAATTGATTGTCTTTGTCCTTTTCCGTTGGCTCCTTTCGGTGGATTATAACCAAAACCCTCTCTACAAGGAGAATATTTTTTATGCCGGGACCATGAAAAAGGGACATAGGGAAAAAAATCAAAAAGAAAAGGATAGAAATGGAAGAAAATCTTCTATTTATAGAAATGGACAACTGAATAAATGGTGGGCCTGGAGCATATTAATTTTTTCCTTCTACAAGATGCATTGAGCTCACACTTTTCTCCAAAATTATGATTCAAGAGGTGATGGGTTGCAACTCACCAAGTGTTTGGCTCTAGCATAACGTTGGGGTGTATTCTTCTATTGGAAAACATTTTCTCCTTTTAAAAGAGAAATTTTTTCTCATGTTAGTGACTCATAGCATAAGTGGGTCTTATCTTGAATTTTTTTCTCTCCACTATTTTGTAGGCCCCACTTATACTATGAATTACTAATATAAGAAAAAAATTCTCCTTTAAAAGGAGAAAATGTTTTCCCTTCTTCTATTAATGTTTGGTGGCTGAGCATACATTACATTTATTGGTATATGATTCAATATTTGAATAAACACATCAATAAATGTTATCAAAGAAGATTCTAAAAGAAGGTGAAGAGACACACCTCACCTATACAAAGATAAGAAAATCCTTTGTAAAAAGTTAGAGAGATAGTGTAAGAGAATTCCTTTGAATGAAAGTTTGAAAGAGTGACATTTTTAGAGAACATTTGTCGTGACTTCGGCAAGTGCACCGGTCGTACAAGTCATAGAGTAAAAATGAGTAGGGTTGTCGTTCCCATGAGGACTGATTATCAATCAATAACTTATCTATGTGATTAAAGTTGGATCGATCTTGTGAGTTTTGAAAAATATAATTTTGAATTAATAAAAATATAATTTAAAAATAATATTTTTGATTTTCAAGATTAATAACAAAGAACAATATCCAAGAACAAAGAACGCAAAAAAATGGTTTTGACTTTAATTGATAACGAGCGTAGCTAGGGATTCGACTTCCCCAATATTTTCCTAACGAGACTAATCTTTCATGCAATTAACATTCAAGATCAATTATCGACAATTCTTTCTAAGTTAACTAAACTCTCAATCCCTTGGTGATTTTAGTTCTTTACTTTAGTCCAAAGCCCTAACCCCTTAGAGCCTTTTTCTAGAGCAAACATTGAGGTCAAGAATAATAAGTTGTAGAACTTGTAAGTTTATGTCTAGAACATACAAACTCTAGCAATAACCAAATGGAATCAAGAAAGAAATATTCCTATTGACATGCAAGATTCTAATGCCCATTCAATATTGGTCAGATCATAAACGAGACTAGGAATGTAAAACAGATTAATTGCATAATTGAAACATGAAAAAAAATTACAAGGAAGATTTAACAACATTCAGGAATCTATTGGTTCCATCTTGCCCTAACTACATAAAAAGAACAAGCGTAACATATTCAAGAAAATTAAAGAAAGAGATGAAAAGAAACTAAAATTCATAAAAGAAACATAAAATCCGGAATCCACGGTGAAGCTTTGGTCGTTCCTCCGCTCCTTAGGTTATGAACGGAGCTTCTCTGCATCCTAAGTCATCTCTGGCCGCCTCCTAACCTTTCTGTGTCGCGTCCTAGCATGAATAGAAAATCCTAAAGTGTGTCTCCTATAAGTGAAGGTCCATGGACTTTTAATTTGGACCAGACTTGGGACTTCTCTTCTTCTTGGTCTTTCTTGAGTCTTGGCTTGATTCTTAACTTCTTCAACTTCATTGATCCATCAAAACTTTAATTCAACACTTTAAACCTGAAAATAATATATAAAAAAATCATAATCATATCCAAACATTAAAACCCTAAAATCTTTTGCATTTAATTAATTTCTTGTACTTTTTTTATTTATACATAGTTCCCTTCTCTTTTAAATATTCAATTATTTTCCTCTCATCGTTTTAACTTTTAGGATACTCATCCTTTTAATATTAAATTTACAATTGTACAAACTTAAATAAAAAGTACATTGTATAAAAAAAGTACAAAATATTACCTCATGTGGAAAAATAAAATATCTTTACTTTTCACTTTTCACTACTTGCTAGTTTTAACCAATTTTTTTGTAACTGGGTAGTGTTTGGTTAGTTACTACATATTTTGACTAATTTTTCTCTCCAGACTAATAAAAAGTAGGCCATTTAATATAATTAAGATTCAATTGGTAATGATGTGCTCTGAAACACGAACTCGTGTTTTTTTTTAATTGTGTGTGTTGGACACGTGTCTGACACGCTCCGACATGCGTTCAACACGTGGTTAACTCTCTGACACGCTCCGATACATTTTTCCGACACGTGGTTAATGCTAGGACACACTCCAACACATTTTTTTTAATCTTAATTTTATTTTATTAACTAAAAATAAAAAAAAATTATTTACAAATTGATTTTTTTCTGTTATGAAATTTGACATGAAAAATTAATAAGGTACGAAAAATTATTTTTGTTTATATTTATGTTATGAAATTTGAATATTTGATTGGTTATATGACTTATTATGGACTGTTATATCTATTAAATATAAATTATATTATATATATTAAAAATATTATTTAATATCAAAACTTGTCCCAATGTGTCGAAATATGCCATTTTTTAGAATTAACGTGTCGGCATGTCATGTCGTGTCCTGTGTCAGTGTGTGTGCATCATAGATGATGTGTATACTTATACTTCACATGCTAGTGGTTTTCGATTAATTAAAAAGTTTCTTATTTACTTATATTTTCATTTGATTTTTTAAGTAAAAATAAGGCTAAAATAATATAAATGTAGTAAAGTAGCAGGTTAAATCATTAATTGAGATTGAAATGTGAAGATGTAAATAATATAAATACAAATATACAATCCTATGTAAACATTCAATAATTCCTCCTCCCCATTAGTGTTTGCGTGTTTTCTATTAAAAGAAAGCTAAGTACGTTGAACATGGGCTTGAAAATTCGAGAGCTTTTCGTTGGGTACGAGGTTTTCTGGCCAACCCATGGGCCAATGAAATTTAGAAGCATTGTAAATGAGTTGGCCCACTACGACCAGTTGTTGTTTTTCTTCTGATATAGTGTAGTTGGACAGATATAATCTAATTTTGAATTATTTAGATTTTTGTAAATACATAAGAGGGGAATTTGAGTTATTTAAGGGAGTTATCAGTGACATTTATTAAACAGCAGTTCTATATAAATTGAATTGGTGTTTAATATGCTTATCTTAAAATCATAAAAAGATGAATACATAAAGTTGTTTTAATATTTCCAACGTTGGCGTGGAACGCGGAGCTTAGCGGGGGGAAAAATTGACAACTAAAACGAGGTAGCTTCCGCTTCGATGATTTACTAGGTTATGTTAAAAAAATACCTTAGACTTTAGATGTAGTTGAAAATCGTTTCATATCTCCATGACTCCATCCATCAATCACTCCAGTCTCTACGTGTTC